TCTAGAATAACCATGGATAAAAACCATGGTTACTTCGATATCACAGGTGTCATCAATCATTCAATTAAATAACCAAAGAGTTCAAGACATGCAAGAACAGCTTCTCCACAAGATGCCTATATCTCATAATGTCTCACTGACTCACTCTTTTTGAATCATAACTATTTTGTACATTTTGACACTGTCTTCCTTATCTAGCTTTACTAAGCATCCCGCTGCCATTTTTAAGTTTATTTGTATTTAAATGCCATAAACATAAATAATCCAGAAATATAAGCTATAGTCTGTCTAAATTTAGAAGATAAATTTTATATCTATGATATATTCAAAATAAGTAGAAGAAAATAGCTGCATTACCTATTTTCACTTCATCTTTATAGTTTATAAAGTTAATGGCTGAACTAAAAGAAGTTATTTCAATGTGTTGTAGACCAGACCTGTGAGTCACCACAGCACAGATGTTTGAATATAGAACATTATATGGAGACCAGGTCCAAAAATGAGAGAGTCAGAGAGGTCTGGAACAGCTGCAATGGGCAGTACTGTCCATTCGCCAGTTTTATCCCTCTCCCCAAAATGTAGGAAGGCTACGTTTCTCAGCTACCTTTGCTTCTAGATGGGGACATGTGACTAGGCCCCAAAAAGCAGCATGGAGCAGACATTCCCAAACCCCATCTGTGACTGCACTGGACTTGTGGCATGTATAGTTTTTATAACTCTCGAAGAAGCGAATTAATCCTATGCCTATACACTGTAATATAAGGGATATACTACCTTAATGAAGAGCTACTGGTAGTATATATTTTCATTCAATTAAAAAGTAAATCATTTTAATTGTGGGAGAATAGCACAGGTCTTGGCATGAAACTAGACCACTGGAAGAATTTGTTTCACTTATGCCCTCCAGCTGCAACTCTAAGCAACTATGTTGCAAGTATAGAAGCTAAACAAAACCCCAGAAACGGGCTTTCAGTCAGCCGGGCTTCAGCCAGCCTGACCGCAACATTGTATCAATGTTTGCAGCAGCGAGAACGCAGAGCTAAAGCTGGCCCAGAATAGAAAAAAAAAAAAAAAGAAAAAAATGTAAACAGCCGTATCTTTAGTCCCAAAGATTTTAACTATTTCCAAGTGTATGTTGGAAATTCAAGAAGAAAGACTGTAAGAAAAAAGTCCATTAAATGATTATTTACAGACTAGAGGCCTGGACCATGAGGGCGCAGACCAGGTTGGGGGATCCCCTCAGCCCGGTCTGCACTCTCTCATAGTCCGACAGCCCTTGGGGGATGTCCGGCTGACAGCCATCCTTAGCTGCCACAGAAGCGGGAGAAGCTCCCCCCAGCTGTGAGCCATGAGCCCAGCTTCTGGCTGAGCGGCGCTCCCCCTTTGGGAGTACACTGACAACCAGGGAGCAGCTTCTGCATTGAGCATCTGCCCCCTGGTGGTCAGTGCACATCATAGCAACCGGTCGTTTCGCCATTCAGTCGATTTGCATATTACCCTTTTATTATATAGGACACCAAAAGTTCTCCTATTGCTACTACTTAGAAATTATCAAGCTACTCTGGTCTTTGAAATTAAAGCACCTTCTTTTATAGATCCATTTGATTGTCAATACAGACATGTCTTCCATGAGGCACCTCAGATACCTGAATCACAATGCTCCATTTCTTTTCATATCATTCCAAACAAGTGGAAGTTTGGCATTTACTTCACTGTGAAGCAGACCTGAGAGATTAGCTCACACAGGTAAAGAAGAGCTGGCTGCATATAGACAGCAATTGAATCAATATCAGACCAGTCAGAGCTCCCTTCCACCACACCCTACCCCAAAAAAAGCAAAAACCAGAATATGGTCAGCTGCAAGATACTGATTCAAACCAGAGGACAACTCAAAGAAAACCATGGGTTAAAAGCATCCCCACAGATTGGCCCTGATCACTGGCCAGGTCTAGGGACCCTACCCAGCCACAAATTTCAGGCACCGGGTCTCTAGTCTATATATATAAAAGCCTAAGCGACTGTTCGATCATTTGACCATTCAACTGGTAGGTATGATGCACACTGACCACCAGGAATAGACACTCCGACCAGTAGGTTACCTTGCTGCTGGGGTCCAGCCGATTAGGACTGGGCAAGATGGGCCAGACACACCCTGGAGCCCTCCCGTGGTCCCTCCCCAGCCCTGATCATGCACCAGTAGGGTCCCTAGCCTGGCTTGCACCCTCTCGCAATCCGGGACCCCAGGCCTCTTGTAATAAAATAAAGTAAATGTAGATAAGCAACTGACCTTAAGCAGTGGTTCTCAAAATGTAGTATGAGTCAGAATTATCAGGAGAACTACTAAGATAGAGACAGCTGGGCCTCACTCCCAGAGTCTCTAATTCAGTAGGTCATGAAGGAAGACTGACAATTTGCATTTCTAATAAACTCTCAGGAATCTTATGCTGCTGTCCCTGGGATCAACTTTGATCACCACCTAGAGAACATTCATATGAAGACTTTTGTGGGTAACATTTTTTTTTCCTTTCTTCTGCAGAGAAGCTCTCTAGTTGTGAAAAAACTAGAGCCTTTGTGGTCTCTACTGAGCCACTGGGGGTCAAGAAAACATTCAGAGTGAGTGTCCTTGAAATAGCACATAATCATGGGGAAACTTCTGAAAAACTTCTGATCCATGATCCTCATCAGAGATTTTCATAATCTCCCTCAGGACCAAACCTACAACAAATTTCTCAAGCTCATTCACTTAACTGGAATCTTATAGCATTAAACATTTCCCTAACCAATCCTGATTTCAAAATTTCAGCAAAGTGAATTACTTTTTCAAATGTTTCTTTTGCAGTTTCCATTTATGAAATACTGAAAACAAATCTTCATTAATTGATTAGCTGTAACTGGTTGGCCTTAAAAATATAATTCCCATAAAGGCATCCAAATTATTACAAATCAAATAGCTACTCTGTGTATACCATCAATTTCCTATTCACCTAAAGATTTTAAATTCTTACATTAATTATTTTTTATCCCATAATAGGATATTGATGATAATACAGTTTCTAAAAATTAGAGATTCAATTTAAAATATGTTTAACTTAAGACCAAGTTATGTTTAACTTAGAACTCTGATAAATTTCTAATGGAAGTATAAAATGGCACAATCACTTTGAAAAACTCTCTTAGACAAGTTCTTTAAAGCTAAATTTACATCTACCTTGTGACACAATGACTCTATTCCTGGATGTTTATTACTCAAAAGAAATTGTAAAATGTTCACAAAAACATATGTACAGCCCTAGCCAGTTTGACTCGGTGGATAGGGCATTGGGGTCAGCATTGGCCCTATCCACTGAGGGTTCCGGATTTGATTCCAGTCAAGGGCACATACCTTGGTTGCAGGCTTGATCCCTGACCCAGTAGGGGCAAGTGTGAGAGGTAACCAATAGATGTGTCTATCTCACATCAACGTTTCTGTCTCTCCCCCTCCTTTCCACTCTCTCTAAAAATCAATGGAAAAATATCCTCAGGTGAGGATTAACAAAACAAAACAAAAAAATCATATGTACAGGAATGTCCCTAGCTTAACTCAAGCTCTGAGGCAGGCTACACACACACACACACACACACACACTCACACTCACACTCACACTCACACAAAAAGTCCTTGTACAAAATAGTCAAAAACTAACAAAGTATGATCTATTCATACTTAGCAATGAAAAAGCAATGAAAAAGGAATAAACTACTGATATAAGCACCAATATGAATTAATCTCAAAAGCATTAACTTGACCAAAGGAAGTCAAACACTGTGTGATTTCATTTATATAAAGCCCCGAAATGTGCAACAACCTATGGTAATAGCAAGCAGAAAGTGGCTAAGTTTGGGATAGGGATAATGGACTGGCAGGGAAGATGAATTAATTCATTATTTCTGAAATGATGGAAATGCTCTATGTCAGTGGTTCTCAACTTTCCTAATGCCACAACCCTTTAATACAGTTCCTCATGTTGTGGTGACCCCCAACCATAAAATTATTTTCGTTGCTACTTCATAACTGTAATTTTGCTACTGTTATGAATCGTAATGTAAATATCTGATATGCAGGATGTATTTTCATTGTTACAAATTGAACATAATTAAAGCATAGTGATTAATCACAAAAACAATATGTAATTATATATGTGTTTTCCAATGGTCTTAGGCGACCCCTGTGAAAGGGTAGTTCGACCCCCAAAGGGGTCGTGACCCACAGGTTGAGAACCGCTTCTCTATGTCATATTTTGCACAGTGGTAACATTGATGTGTAAGATTGTCAAAAAAATCTATCAAATTGAACACTTAATATCTATGCATTTTATTATATGTAAATCACAGTGCACTAAAACAAAATACTTTTAAGCTTAACTATTCAAAGAAAAGAATGATTTGCCGAAGCAATGTTTCCTGGACTCAAAATTACATTAAACAGAACAAATCATTTGACGTTAAAATTTCTAGTCACAGATGAGTGTTTACAGAATCATAATTTTAAGCTAAAAGGAGCATGACTGTACACCAGTTTTCCTTAGACAGTCATCCCAATGTAGTCCTGATGTCACAGCATTAATAGTGCCTCCTTCACCTTCAAAGTATTCTAATTTAGATTAACACCTATATAGACACTTCAGCTATAAGGGCATTTAATGTTATTTAGTATAATAAGCTCATTCACTTTTTCATTCAACCCACATTTACTAAGCAACTATGTAGATGACCATAGACCCTATGTTCTCAAATAATTCACATTGCTTCTTTTTCCACAATCAAAATATAAAATGGCTAGATAGATTTCCCCTAAACTTAACATAAAATATACAACTGAGAAAAAACTAAATATGGAACAAATCAGAATTTTTCTACAAGGTAAGTATAAACCAAACTTACAAGGAAAAATAATTTTTTTGAACTGTAAGAAACAAAAAATATGAAGATATTCACAAATATAAAATGAAGAAAACCTTTACCTGCTGCCCTGTAAAGTATTTTAGGTTCAAAAAATATACAAGGATTTTTATCCTCTATGCATGACAAAAGAAGTCCCTTGGCCTGGAAAGGGCTTCTGGGTACAACCACCTGCAAAAACAGATTTTTTTAAAGACAATTTCAGTAAAAATGTATCCCAGCAAATTCATTATAAGAAGAGCTGACATTTAAATAACCAATTGTTACTAATTAAAAATAGAAATCTGGCATTTTTAGCCTAATTATAATTTTTAATAAAAATTTACATTCTGTCCCAAAATAGCCCCCATGTTCAACATTTTTTAGATGCCCATCATATTCTGGTGATTAAAAATGCTCTTCTCCTAATGAGCTAAACTTGCATATACATAAAAAATAAAAGGATTCTACAAAAAGCATTCATCAAAACAAAAAAGTAAAGTTGTCAGTATCTTTCTGTATTTATCTATAAATAAATAAATATTTTCTACTAATACTCTACAGCTAATTCCAAAGGGTATGCAACTCTCTTCTCTAATTTTAAATATCAAAATCTCCTCTTCCATGAAAAACATGGTCTGCATTTCCTACAGGAAAGAGTAATCCACGGAACTTTACAATCAAGCACTATAACATTGTTAAGGCAAAGCTAAAGAAATGTGTGGATACTGCACACTTCCAGCTAACAGGAAAAGATTCCAGAACCTTCCTGGGAATGAGGTTGATAATGAAGAAAATGGTAATGACAGGAGGTAGCACATGTGTTAACTGGGTCAAGAACACTATGTGGACTAATTCATCTACTGTTCACAGCAACTCGCCAAGGTAGCTATTATTATTTTCCCCAATTTAGAAATGCAGACTAAAGCTTAAAGAGAGGTCAAATAGCTTGCCCAAGGTTACATCGCTTGCTACACCAGGAATTCTCACCCAGTTCTGACTGATACACAGCTCAAGTTTGTACACCATTTTACCTCAAATCATAAACTTGCATCTAATTTTCAATGATTACTAAATAACTGCATAAAGACAAGAATTACATAGAAAAAGTTACCATTAAAATAAACCTGAATTTATCACAAAGGCTTAAATAAGGTTCCTTGAAGCAAGCTATATTTGGCTTTCAAAAATCATTTTCATACCATTTTTATTGAAGGACACTATTCCATTTTCTGTAAACTAACTCCTGGACACAGCGCTTACCACAACACAATGTCTTTATCTTATGTTCCCACTTTATTTTTTCTTCTTCTGCTTTCTACATGTGTTTATTTTTAACATTTTGTACTATATGTACAATTTTCATTTGGGATTAAAGAAAGAGAAAGGGGGAGAGGGTAGAGAAAGTAGAGGATTGAGAGAAAAGATGTGTTCTTAAAAATACTGGGTAACATCATAAACATTAAATGTGAATCAATGTTCAGCTCAAGCACAAAAATAACTATTTTCTCAACTGTGGCTTCTGTCCCAACTTACCACTTCCAGCTTACATCGAAAAGTTATGCAACCTGTACTCTACTGAGAAAACTTTATGACTTTGCTTTAGGAGGGAAAATAACAAATAAAAAAAAACATAAACACATGTTCACAACCAGCTCATGTTATCAAAAAACAGACACACAGCCGTGGGTGAACATATCTATGAGTTTTTATAATGATTCCCAAGGAAGCTCTCTAGTAAATAGAACTAGAAAAGAAGATAATGTAAAAAATGAAAAGAAAATATGCAAAATGTTTTTATTAAAAGACCCAAGTGATTATAGAAATTGAAGACTCTTGTGGCAGGCAAAGAAAGATGCTTCAACTTTCACTGTTAGAGCAAATATTACCTCCCCTGGAGTGAAAAGCACACCTGGGTAACAGAGGCCTCTGTCAGTCTGTTTAAAAACATACAGACTAAAAGCAAAAGTCTATCCCTCTGACTAGGAATTAAAGAGTAGATTTATTAATTTACCCCAGAAAAAGATTTATTAATTTAAATGAAAAAGACCTATTAGAAAGAAACAGAGCTTTGAAACAGAGGAAGATAAACCAACTATGTTCTCAGTCTTATTCTCTGAAGCCTAAAATTAATATCAGGTACTATTAATATCAAGCCAGGTACTATTACAAAAAGAATACTCTATAAATCTGAGCAATGGATTAATGAATATAAAAAACAAAACAAAACTATGCCCTCTTTTTAAAAGGTTTACATGAATTCCCAAAATCCTGTTTGCTTTCCTCTGATAAGCATTTTAGTTAATATTAATAGAATGAACCATAATGAAAACCTCAACTGGAGATCAAATAAAGTACATAAATGAGTATACCTTAATTCCTGGGCAGTGGGCAAAAAAAGCTTCAGGACTCTGAGAATGGTAGAGAGCCCCATGGCCAACACAGCCCCAAGGGGAACGGATGGTGAGGCTTCCACAATTAAAAAGATCCCCAGAGCGGTATCGATACTTGGCGGCTTCATTAACAATCTGAGAAGGGAGAAGAGAAGGGACATGTCACAGGGAGTCCTTCATTCCCATCCATTTTCTTCGACCCTTTATTAGATCTTTACATATATGCCATAACAACATACCTTGTAATGCACTAGCTCAAAGGTAGCACAAAGTTCTTAAGATAGGGAGGGTAGAGGCAAAACTTTAATACTTCGTGGACTTAACCTTAGAAATGACCAATTATAGTAAACTGCAATCTTCCTACCTGATCAAAAGCTGGGTAAATATAATCTGCAAACTGAATTTCTGCAATGGCAGTAGCACCAGTGACTGCAATTCCAATCCCAAATCCAACAATTCCTTGTTCACACAATGGGGTATTAAAAACTCTATCTTTTCCTAAAATAAAAAAATAAAATCATTTTATTATGACAAATGAGAGTAATGTAATGCACAATACAACTGAAAAGTCAATGAGTTGGTAATGGTGAGATGGAGAAAAAAAGCAAGGGACAGGTGAAGGAAACAGAAAATAACTAGTATGATAGCTGTTTTAAATGCAAACATAGTAATTATATTAACTAAGTAATTGAAATGTTACAATTAAAAGACAGGGTGTCACACTGAGATTTAAAAAAAGCAAAATCCACCAGAAACACCAATCAGAAAGGACATATGCACCCCGATGTTCATAGCAGCACAATTCACAATAGCTAAGATCTGGAAACAGCCTAAGTGCCCATCAGCAGATGAGTGGATTAGAAAACTGTGGTACATCTACACGATGGAATACTATGCTGCTGTTAAAAAGAAGGAACTCTTACCATTTGCAACAGCATGGATGGAACTGGAGAGCATTATGCTAAGTGAAACAAGCCAGTCAATGAAGGAAAAATACCACATGATCTCACTCTTTCATGGATAATTAAGACCATTACAAACGTTTGAGCAATAATAGATACAGAGGCAGAGCTGCCTCAAACTGATTGTCGAACTGCAGTGGGAAGGCCAGGGAGGGTTGGGGGACAGGAGGGAGGGGAGTAAGAGATCAACCGAAGGACTTGTATGCATCCATATAACCATAACTAATGGACATAAGACACTGGGGGGTAAGGGAGGGCAGGGGCTTGTCAAGGGTGGGGGGGAAAAAAGGACACTTATGTAATACCCTTTGTAATACTTTTAGCGAAAAATAAAAATTAAAAAAAATAAAAATAAAAAAAATAAAATAAAAAAAGCAAAATCCAACTACTTAAAATAAAATAAGTAATAAAGATATCAGAAAGTTATAAATAAAAAGAAAAATATATATACAATAAAAAAACACAAAGAAAATTGCTACATTAATAGGAGACAAAGTAGACTTTAAAGGAAAAGGCATTACCAGAGATAAAGAGGGAAAATTCATTCTTTAAAAGAGTTCAAGTCACAAGGAGGACATAATTCTAAATTTAAACTCTTATGACAACATGGGCTCCAAATAAATAAATAAACAAACAAACAAACAGAACTGAAAAAAGAATGGCTAAATTCCCAAGATAGTGGGAAATTTTAACATACCAATCTCAGTAACTAATAGATAAAGCATACCAAAATAAAAGTAAAAACTATATAAGATTTGAACACCATCAACAAACATGATTTAACTGATAAAGACACTCTACACCTAACAGAGAACACTGGTATTAATTAACCATATACTGGGTTATAAATCTAATCTCAACAAGTTTCAAAGAATTAAAGTAATATAGAATATATTCTCTGACCATTATGGAATTAAGCTAGAAATTATTAACAAAAAGATAATTAGAAAATCCTTATGTTAGACAAAGTTTTAAACATATGTCTAAGTATCTCATGACTCAAAGATTAAGTTATAATGAAAATGAGAAAGTATTTTGACCAGAATGATAATGAGAACTCTTATGTATCCCAAGTTATTGAGGTTCCAATTTCAATAATGGCAGAGTAAACCTCACACATCTAATGAGTAAAATATACAAACAACTACTTACAGGCACTGGAGAGGCAAAAAAAAAAAAAAAAGGCCTAAACTTAAAGAGATTGGATCCTTAGAAGAACTGAATTGCAGTGGATGAGCATGACATATATAAGGCATATCCCTTGAGGTGATTCCCCAGTTTCTGAGACATGAGACAGCTAGAATTCAGACAGTCTTATCGGCATGGGGTGTCAAAGAATGGAGTCTGGAACTGCTAGTGGCTGGAAATTGAGGCACTAGTCCCTAAAAGAAGGGCACTACATGAGGGCACCCCAAAATGTATGCATTAAATCTTCTTAAATCCTCGGTTGACCCCTGTGCCTACGAGAGACTCCAAAAGCACAGCAGGTAACTGGAAGCTCAAAGAGCTGAGCATAGATTTCAGCTATGCCCACTAAAAAGGAGGCAGAATTTGGAGTCTGAGATTCTTTCAAATTAAAGGAGCTTGACAAACAAACACCTTAGGCTTTCCACTGAAACCACAGGGTATAATGTTACTAGCATACACAACTCATTTCTCATCTGAAATTTTACCACCTCTCAAACCATATTAGCATTTCATGAAAAATTCTAATTTCAGGAACTTGGATGGATAGACACAAGCAATAGCCACAGTCTGAAAGTTTGGGAACAGATCTATGATTCATATTTCAGTTCCATAATACAGGGATACCAGTTCTTCTTGGCACATAGAATTAACTTTCAGCTCAATCAGTCCTTTTGAATATGAACCATAAATAGAGCAGGTGCTAGAAAATGCCAACTAGACACATCCTACAGTTTGCACTCTAAAAGCAGCTGCAAAAACTTAAAGCATGATTCTTACTCATCCCGATCTGTGACTACCTTCTGACTGTGACCTCTATCCCTCATCAGTTCCCTATTTGACTGTGAGCTGCTTGATAATTTCTGAAAATTTATGATTCCATTGAATTAAGAACAATTCACTGGCAGAAAATGAACACAGATTCCAGCTGCCACCTGTAGGAATCCACACCTGTGGAATACCTGAACCATCTGAACCAGAGGAACAGTGTTATTATTTATTCCTTACTACTTCTGGTTCCCTGGATTCAGATATTTTTCATCTCAGTAAATATAGCCCGTTTTGCTCCTAAAAGGCAGAAAAGTTGAGTTTATCAGAATTCTTACTTCAAAAGATGCTTAATTTGAGGAAATAGCTTAACTCTCTTCATGTTTCTATGATCTAGAAAAAAAAAAAAAAACCCTGCTTCAACATGAATTAAATGTTAAAAATCTGTTTCTATTTTCTCCCAAACAGGTAATGATTGAGGGAAGAGCACACATAAAATGTAAAATACTGATGACTTTCTGTGTTATAATGCAATTAACCTGATATAAAATTCATACACACAGTGTCCCAATGGGTAAATTAATAATACATACAGTGATTACACCATTAGCCAAGACAGCTGTGGGTTTAAGTGTCATCTCCACAAATTACTAACTCCTAAGGCTGAATTTCTATTTGTACCAGAAGAACCATGATACTGAAGACTAAAAATTCACACGTATTCAAACATTTACAAAGTACCTAATACTATATAGACACTATTCTAGATGCAGAAGATACAGCAGGAAAATAATTCTATCCTTATGGAATTTATATTCCAATCAGGAAAAGGACAAAAACAAAATAAATGAGTAAAATATATAGTGTGTTAAATGATAACAAGTGCTATGGAGAATAGTAAAGCAGGAAGTAGGTGACTGGGGGAGCAGGTGGACCTACTATGATTTTAAATAGGATGATGGGGAAAGACCCACTGAGATGTGACATTTAAAGGAAGAGATGAAGGGTGAGGAAGTATACCATGCATACACCCAAGGGAATATATGTTCCAGACAGGGGGATCAGCTAGTGCAAAGGTCCTGAGGTATAAGCATGTTTTAGCACATCAGGGGAAAGACAAAAAGTTCAGAATGGTCTGGAGTAAGAAATAGTGAGAGAAGACAAAGTTGAAGAGTTAATAGAAAGGTATGGGAAGATGGCACAGAGAGAGGGCCTTGTAGGTCACTGTAAACTTTAACTATGAGAATGAGTCAAGTAGGTAAGCTTGACAGGAAGCCAGTGAGCAAAATCATGGCATTCTCTGAAATGACATTTCAACAGGATCCCTCTGGCTGATATTTGGTGAATAGCCTATAAATAGGCAAGGATGGACACAGCAAAATTGATTACAGGATATCACAATAATCCCAGTAAGAATGATGAATCATAACAGCAGAAAAGGTATGAGGTTTTGGATATAGTCTAAAGATAGAGTCTAAAAGATTTCCTGATGAAATGGATGTGGAGTATGAGTCAGAGAAATGCTAAAGATGATTCAAAGGCTTTTGCCCTGAGCAGCTTGAAGAGAGTTGCCATTAACTAAAAAAGGGGAAACCACAAAGAAGCATGTTAAGATATCAGAAGTTCAGTTTTGGAGATATTATGTTTGAAATACCTTCAGATATTAAGATAAAGCTATTAATTTGACTGTTGGATATATGAAAGTCTTACGCATAAAAATAGCATTAAAGAAAACACAGAACTAGATGAGATTACCAAGTAAATTTAATGAACACATAGAGAGAAAAAATTCAATGTTACAAAGGCAAGAGGTAAAAAATAAATCAGAAAAATTGAGAAGGAAAAAAAAAAAAGCCAAAGAGTTTGCATGAAAACTAGGAGAATGTGCTGGCCTAGAAGAAAGTGCTTCTAAGAGAGTGTAATCAACTTATGCTATATGCTACCAGAAGGTAAGATGAGGCTGAAAATGTTATAACTGGTGACCTCAATGTAATAGTGTCTGCAAGTAGGAAGGAGGGAGAAAACAAAAGCCCATTTCAAGAGGGAATAGAAGAGAAATTGAAGACCATGAGTAATGGCAATTATTTGCAGAAGAAATTTTGCTGTAAAGCGGGGGGGGGAGCAACAACCAGTAGAGAAGGGAAAATTGATGATTTTGAGAAAAATTAATGAAATAGAGAGAGAAAAAAAGGATGACTAGAAAGAACCATGTCTTTTAAAAGGTGACAAAAAAGGAAGGAGTCTAAGTGTGGAGATGTTGACAGGAACCCTTACTTTCATTCAAACAAGAATAAAGAATGCAAGCACTGATGCTGGAACATGTATATACTGCATACGGTGGTGAGAGCTGATCAAAGTTCTATTAGTTGCATCTATGTTCTTAATAAAATATGAAATTAGAGTATTATCAAGAGTAAGAATAGAGAAGACAGTGTGAGAGGAAATAAAAGTATAAAAGAGAGAATAGGCCAGAACATGCAGCATGATGGTAGACAGCATGAGCCGGCCTTGGAGAATACTAGTCTTGAAATTAAAGTGATATCAGTTGACAAGATGACATGTGTTGCTCCAACAATGTTCAGC